CAAATCAATTATATCAGAATTCTTCAAATTACAAAGTTTTTTAAAGCTTTTAGAGACCTATGTTGGGGAAAATGAGACTTTAAATGAATGTTTTGGGTTTGAATTTGATTTTACTTTTCATTAATTTAGCTTATGAATTTCTCAAAGTTGGCAGGAGATTCGTTTTTATTGTACAATAATGCTTCTCTTTCTGGGTTCAGAGTTTCAGCTTATTTGCCTATGCTATCCAAACTTTAGCAAGGTTCTTCTTTAAAACCTTTCTTTCCCTGGGGCTGGAGAGATTGCTCAGCGGTTAAGAACACTGGTTATTCTTGCAGAAGACCCAGGTTCGAATCCCAGCACCCACGTGGCAGCTAACAACTGTCCATAACTCCAGTTCCAGGGGATCTGACAGCCTCTTCTGTCCTCCGTGGCCATTGAACAACACGGGTACACTTACCTACATGCAGACGTAACACTCATGCACATAAAAAAATAAATAAAAAATAAATATTTAAAAAACAAAAAACAGCCGTACGTGATAGCTCATGCCTTTAATCCCAGCACTTGGGAGGCATTGGCAGGCGGATCTTTGTGAGTTCAAGGCCAGGCCTGGTCTACATAGTGAGTTCCAGGACAGCTGGGGCTACAAGGAAACCCTGTCTCAAAAAAGACAAAAAAAAAACCTTTCTCTCCCTTCCTGGAGAAAGTAGCTCTGTCAGCAAAAGGAGGAATAAGTTATTCTTACTATCAAAAGTAGTAAACAAATACAAAGGAGGATAAATATTCCCCAAAAGTTGCCTTTTTTATTTAAAAAAAATTAATTCAATTACTAGTGATTAAATTTTCAACTTAGCAAATTTAAAATGTAAATAATTCTGACTAATCCAATACATTAAAATAAATTTGTATTTGATATCCAAAATATTAAGTGTTTATTTTTTGCAGTGCTAGGGATAGCACCCAGTACCTTGGGTATGCTAGACAAGTGCTCGTAGCCATGTTCCCAGCCTGGGTGTTTTATATTCAAAGATGTTCTTTCAGGACCCTTTAGAATCAGGAAATTAGATATGGTCAATGAATAGGCAATTGTTGAACATTTATATTGCCCTTTCAATGGTCACAAAAACAGACTACTGTGCAATATTACTGTGACAAATTCTTGAAAAATAAACCCAAATCTTAAGCCTCTGCATTTTCAGGTTTGCAGGAAATATGTCAGAATATGTGACAGAATATGTCAGGTGTTGCAGTGCATCTGATCACAAAACCCAGAACAGAAAGTCTAGGGGCAAATGTGATTCTTGACAGGTGTGGTGGCCCTCGCCTTTAATCCCAGCATTTGGGAGGCAGAGGCAAGTGGATCTCTGTGAGTTTGAAGCCAGCCTGGTCTACATAGTGAGTTCCAGTCCAACTGGAACTGCAGGGAGACCCTGTCTCATAGACCAAAAAGAAAAAGAAAGAAAGAAAGAAAAAAAAAGTGATTCTTCAACAGTTAAATTACAGGAAAAAAAAAAAAAAGTTTAAAGAAGCAGAAGGAACCATGGAGAAAAGAAACATCAACCAATTTAGGTAGATTTTATTTGGTTTTTGGTCTAAGGAAGCTGAAAATATATGATAAATGGTGATAAATGGGCAAATTTGAAAACTTTAATGATATTAAAGAACTATTAATATTTTAGATATGCTAGTGGTATTTCTATTAAAATATATCAATTTGTAGCATATATAATCAGATATACAGTACAACCAGCCACATTTTCATTTCTTTTTAACTCCCAGAGTAAACGCTGTACATTTCTTTTATAAGTCACTGTGTGTGTCTGTCTGTCTGTCTGTCTGTCTGTGTGTCTGTGTATGTCTGTGAGTATTTTGGTTTGGTTTGGTTTGGTTTGGTTTGATTTGAGACAAGGTCTCACTTAAGCTCAGCTGGCTTAAAACTCATTATGTAGACTAGACTGGCCTCCATCCCACAGAGATCCACCTGCCTCTGCCTCCCAAGTGCTGGGATTAAAGGCATGTGCCACCATGCCCAGCCCCTATATTTTTAATTTTGCTAAATATTTTCCACAGAGAATGTACAGATTTGGTGTAGAAAACAGGGTTAGGTCTTTTTTTTTTTTTTTTGCATTACCATTGGTGTAAGTGTGATTGACATTTTCAGTTGTTTAGGAGCAATTTTCCTTTTGCTTTTGTCTTTTTAAGACAGGGTCTCATGTAGCCAAGGCTGGCCTCAAACTCAGTTCCTGATCTTCTTACCTCCACTTCAAAAGTGCTGCTAGGTTTAGAGCCATGCTCTACCACACTCCACTGAAGACCTGTTTTCTAGACACTATTCAGAGGCCTTTGTCTTTTTCAACTGAATTGTTGAGTGCTTTTAAAAATAATTTGTAGATACACTTTATACATTTTGGAAATATTTACCTAGAATATACATTGTTAATACTTTGCCTCGATTTATATGTTTTTTAACTGAATATGTTTAGGTTTGGGGCATTGTTTTTGCCAAATGGCAGTTTTTAAAGTTCATTATCAAATTGATCTATATTTTCATATTCATTTATCTATATATTTATTTGCTTGTTTACATATTTTTCTTTTTAATAGTTTATTGATTCTTTGAGTCTTCCACACAACTATTTATTTTTGGAGACAGGGGCTCAGTCTGTAGCCTAGGCTGGCCTGCAAGGTCCTCCTGCCTGAGCTTTCCAAGGCTAAGATTGCAGGTCTGTGTCACCATTTCCAGCTCTCAGATCTATCTAAATGTTCTATCTACTTGTATCTTTCTTGAGATCATTTATAAAATGATCTCTAATAGTTTACCTTTAAATCTTTATCTGAGTTATATTCTAATATTCAGTTAAGCAGATCAAGTCAGTTTATTTGGTTTTCAAATAACTCCCATTAAGTCCCACACCATTTCTAAGCTCATCTTTTCCCTACTGACTTAAAGTATCATGATATTGGAAGTACTCAGCTTGTTTGGATTCTCGATATTTTTCTTTTGCCTTTCCATTCTGATGCATGGATTTGTCTCTTCGTATTCCACTACGTTATTTTTAATTATTGTAGTGTTATAATAGGTTTTTAAGTCCTTTGGGACCAGTCTTTCCTCATGCTTAGAATTTTCCAGATTTTTTTTTCTTGCTTATTATTCAAGCTTGTCTCATTCACTTAAAAAGAAATTTTAGCATATTAGCCTTAAATTCACAAGTTAATTTAAGGAGCACTAATTACTGCTGTTGTCACCTGTCTGTCCAGAACCCCATCTGTCCCATGTTAGATCTTTGTCTCCCTTGTCAGCATCTACATGATCTCCTGGATGTTGCCACATTTCTTATAAAGTTCATTTCTGGACTTTTCTTTTTCATTGATGTTATAAATACTGTCTTCTGTTGTACATTCTGATTATTGTTTATACATTTGAAGACAGAAGTATTATACATAATCTCATTTTATGTCCACTCATCCTTTTAAATTTTGTTTTGCTTAATTTTTTGTAATGTGTATGAGTGTATTGCCTGCATGTATGTAAGTGTACTCATGTAGTGCAGTGTCCAAGGAGGTCAGAAGAGGGCGTCAGATTCCCTGGAACTGGAGTTACAGATAGTTATTAGCTGCCATGTGGATACTGGGAATCAAACCCTGGTCCTCTGCAAGAGTAATCAGTGCTCTTGACCACTGAGCCATCTCTCCAACCCCTTTGTTTTGTTTTTTGAGGTAAGGTCATTACATTGTCCAGGCTGGCCTAGAAATGACCATCCTCCTTCTTCAACCTCCCAAGTACTAGAATTATAGGTATGTATCACTTGCCCAGCTTGAGCTTTTAAATATTTATTTATTGGGGAGCACAGCAACACTCCATGTATGGAAGGCAAAGGACAACTTGCAAGTGTCAGTTCTCTCTTCCCATCATGTGAGTTCTGTGGATCAAGCTCAGGTCATCAGGCTTGGAGGCAAGCATTCTTACCCATTGAGTCATCTTGCTGCCCAAAAGGTTTTTTGGTTGGTTGGTTGGTTGGTTGGTTGGTTGGTTGGTTGGTTGGTTGGTTGATTTTGTAGTACCGGGAATTGATCCTAGGGTCTCATGCATGCTAGGCAAGTACTCTGCCATTGAACTATATTCCGAGCCCCTTAAATTTTTTTATAGTAGTTTTTCAATTACTAGACTTGTATTTCCACTGTATATGCCATTTATAGATAACCTTTTTGTTTCTAAGACCATTATTTTCCTAATAATAATAACATAATATTCTAAATCAGAAAAATATCATTAAAAATACAAATTGAAATGCCAGACATGGTGACACCTTTAATCCCAGCACTCGGGAGGCAGAGGCAGGCAGATCTCTGTGAGATCCAGGCCAGCCTGATCTACATAGTGAGTTCCAGCTGGAGCTACAGGGAGACCCTGTCTCAAAAAGACCAAAAAAGAAGATACAAATTCTATTCCTATTGTACTTAGCCTTATTTATTTTTATTTTATATGTATGCATGTATTGCCTGCATGTAGGTAAGTGCACCTGTGTCGTGCAATACCCACGGAGGACAGAAGAGGCTGTTAGTTGTTAGCTGCCATGTGGGTGCTGGGATTCAAACCCGGGTCTTCTGCAAGAACAACCAGTGTTCTTAACTGCTGAGCCATCTCTTCAGCCCCAGTGTTATTTTTCTTTTAAAATATTTTATTTATTATTTTTATTTTATGTGTATGCATGTATTGCCTACATGTAGGTAAGTGCACCAGTGTCGTGCAATGCCCGCAGAGGACAGAAGAGGCTGTCGGATCCCCAGGAAGTGGAGTTATGGACAGTTGTTAGCAGCCATGTGGGTGCTGGGATTCACACCCAGATCTTCTTCCAGAACAGAGAGTGTTCTTAACTACTGAGCCATCTCTCTGGCCCCTAGTGTTATTTTTCCGAATGTTTCTAAAGATGATACATTACATTGAAAATGAATGTGAATGTATTTGTAAATGATACTTTAAATACTTAAAAAAGATAACTGCATTGCTTTTTCCTCAGGATCAAATGGCCATTGCATGTGGATCTAGAGCTCATTTGGAGAAAGAATCAATTGCTCAGGTGAGACTTTCCCTGGCTGGCATGGAGCAGCAGCTTTTTAACCCATTTTTTACAGACACATATGGCAAGAAATAGGTTCTTTATGTTTATTCTATTTAAATGAGCTTCCCTTCAGTGTCCTTCCCCCCCCCCCCTTTTTCTTTTTTGAGACAAGGTCTTCCTGTAACCCCAGCAGGCTTAGAACTGCTAGAGGAAGCTTAGAGAGAATGTCAGATCCCATGGAGCTGGCGTTATAGGCATTTGAGAGCCACCTGACAGAATGGGATCTGAATCCAGGTCCTCTGGAAAAACAGCATGAGCTCTTAACCACTGAACTGTCTCTTCAGCCCGGTGACTTTGTCTGTCTCTTTTTTTTTTTTTTTTTTGAGACAGGGTCTCCCTATAGCCACAGCTGTCCTCAGTCTCACAGAGATATAAAGCGCAGGGATTAAAGGCATGTGCAACCACGCCCGGCCCAGTGATGCACTTTTTAGCCAACCAATTTTCCCTTTTAGTGCTGCTCATATTAAAATTTTTTAGTGCCAACATCATGTCTTAAAGGGAAAACTGTCTCATACACAAAGCGTATTAAAAATACCATGTAAAATTACCTTCAGTATATCAGTATAAAATGGATATTAAACAAAAATGACTTTCATATTTAGACTTGGTCCCTTTCCCCAAATATTTCATTTTATATATGTATGTATGTATGTGTATGTGCACACACACACAACAGTATTCCACAGTCTGAAAAAAAGTTCACCCTTTGAAGCACCTCTAGTCTCAGGCATTTAGGATAAAGGATAGTCAGACTAAATTTTGAATTTGTTCATAGTTTAAATACTTATTTTTTTCCTAAGAAAACACTTATCTGAAAAATTTGACAAATTCCTGACTGCTTGTTTTAGAAAGATATAAATCACTAAAGACTTTAAGCTATTGTTTTGTAGAGTATACTAGAAAAGCCAGAGTGACTTGAGGGATAAAGAATCTTAGGTATTATCTTTGCAAAGTGTCTTAAGTCTTAGTCATGCTTTTTTTCATTTTAAAATGTATGTTTTTGAGTATCAAGCCCAGTTACTATCCATTATGTTCTTAGTGATTCATCAGGTAGATTGGAGAATAAGCAGTGTTGTTCTCTTTACATACATGCAGGCAAAACACTTATACACATAAAATAAAAATTAAATAATTTTTTAAGAAGAATGGAAACCTAGACTCTCCTTTTTTATAAGGGCAAGCAAGCAAAGTTTATTGAGATGTAAGGAAACAACTCCTTCGGCTGGGAGGGACTCCAAAATGAGTTGCCCTGGACTCTCCATTTTTTTAGGAGTAAGCTATTTTAACATCTAGCTAGTATTTTTATATACCATATAATTCTCATTAGTGTTTGAAGAAGGTTAATCTATTATAGAGATTATCACAGTTCTTAAAATTTAAACTAGGTTTAGAGATTAACTATTCCATCATCATTGGTTTATTGATAGTGGGGATAAAGGAAATGGTTTATGTCCAGGATGATCAGCACATTATTTGTTGCTATAAAAGTAGAGGCCATAAGAAACTGATTCTGACTATGGGAACTATAACTCTATCCCCTGCACAGATTGCACAGCCCAGTGACACTGCTAATACAGACTGTCATCAGGTGGGATGGTGTTCTATTGTATAAAAAGAGGCTGCTGGTATAAGTACAGTGTAATTATGTCAAAAAAAAATTTGTAAGTAAAAACATTGAAAACAGGCTTGGCAATAGCTTAATGATTTTGTGGATAAGTGAGTAAGGTTTGGTTTTTGGGTTTGGGTGGGGTTTTTTGTTTTGTTTTGTTTTTTCCTTTTTAAGAATATGAACCAGTAGCGGGGAGAGCTAATCTTTTTGGTGAAGGAAAATAGAGAAATAGGAAATGAGAGGAACCATGAAATAATCTAGGCTGCAGAGGTTTGGTCCCTGCTTGTTGGTAGCTTTGTGTTTTGGTTTTGTCTTTTGTTTTCGTCTTTTGTTTTCCTGTAGTGCTGAGGATCAAACCCAGGGCCCTCTACGTGCTGAACAAGTGCTCTACCACTGAGCTATCTAGCCCTTTGGTTTTATTTTTAATTATGTAGTTTTAACTTAGAACTCCCATTAGTTAAAGCCAGGCATGGTGGGACAGTCCTGTAATCCCAGCACTCAAGAGACTGAGATAGTACCAACCCAAGTTCTAGATCAGTCTGAGATACTTAGTGAATTCCAGACCAGCCTGGGCTACAGTGTGAGGCCCTGGCTCACAAAATCTTCTATTAGCTAAAAGCTAAATTTTTCCTAGAAATGTAATTTAAATGAAACTGTGATCTAAATCTTATTTTACCTCCAAATACTTATAGCTAGAAATTAAGGACTCTATCCCAGATCTACATTTATAATTTATCTTGTTTCTATCTACTCATTCTTCTCTTTCTAATTTGACTTAGGGCCTCTGGCTTGGAGAGGATTTAGACCTGTTCTGTAGAAAGTGTCCTGACCTACCCGCTAGAGAGCAGTAGTTGCTCACTGTGGTACTGCTTGTAACTGCTACCCAGTAGGCCTGTTATCCAGATAATTTCTCTTAGAACTATACCTGCCTTATGGAAAGTTGTCTCTAAGAAACACAAGAGGCATCTAATCCAGGAACTTCCTTTTCTTTTACTGTGCTGTATGCAGTGTGAGCCCTTAGATGGGGATCAGTCTGGACAGTAAAAGAACAGAAGAATCAAGATGCCGAACAGCAGCTTCAATAGCTTATGGCATAGTATTATGCTAACCAATCTTTTCTAAGTATTTTATACATATCCTCAATTAACCTGTTTTGCTGCTCTCCTGGAAGATGAGCAAGGTAGAGCACAGGTAGAATGCATCTGCTTCTTTACAGGAGCCCATGTTCCCATGTGTTCTGTGTAACAGTTTGAACAGTCCAGATATTCTAGAATTTATCATTTGAAAACATTCAGAAATAGAATCCTTTGGCATTTATCTGATGCCTTTATTTTTTGTTTTGTTTTTTTTTGAGACAGGATTTCTGTATAGCTCCAGCTGGCCTAGAATTCACTATGTAGACCAGGCTAATCTCAGTCTCACAGAGCTCCACTTACCTCTGCCTCCCAAATACTGTATTGAAGGCATGTGTCACTACACCTGGCTTGGTGCCTTTATTTTTTAACATACTGAAATTACCATTCTTTACTTTTCTCCTAAATTCCTATATTTTATAGACTTTGGAGATATCTTTAATATTAAGATGGTGTCTTTCCTTTGTGCTTTTAAATGTCCATTTCAGATGTTTATATCCTAAGCATGAAGTTTCCTGTATTGTTTTTGTGGCTCTCCTTAATGAAGTAAATCTGTCCTACAGCGTATTTTAGGAGTCTTCTAAATTTCAAGTGAAGTTTTAAAGATAAAGCAAAATCTTGTTTTTGGTTTACCTAGATTATCATGCTTTTACATATGCTAGAAATAAAATAAAGGTCTTATCATGAGCTGCACACCTATGGGGGTTTGTTTGCTTGTTTGGGGGGTTGTTTGTTTTGTTATTTTGAGAAAGCATCTTCTGAAACTTGCTGCATAGACCAGGATGGCCTTGAACTCACAGTTTTCTACCTGTCTCTGCTTCCTAGGTGCTGGGATTAAAGGTATATGCCACTATTCCTAGCTTCACCTACTGGGTTTTTTTTTGGGGGGGGGGGGGATTTTTTTTTTTTTTTTTTTTTGGGGGGGGGGGGTATTTTTGTTTTTGTTTTTTTTGGGTGGGGGATCTTTTTGAAACAGTCTCCCTGTAGCCCCAGCTGGCCTGGAACTCACTATGTAGACCAGGCTGGCCTGGAACTCACAGAGATCCACCAGCCTTTACCTCCTGAGTGCTGGGACTAAAGGCGTGCACTACCTTGCCCAGCTATTAGCTGCTATCCTAAAACCAAGCATAATAAATTTATTAACACCCAAGCCAAAGCAGTCATGAATGTTTTTACATGGTAACAAGCTCCCCTTCATCACAGTAAAAACCATTCAGGCAGAACAGTGAACAGGTACTGTTTTCCACCTTTTATTTTTATTTTCCTATCTTTTGGTTTCTGTTTGTTCCTTTTTTAAGCATAAATACTCTTTTGGAAGTTTTATCAGTCCACCAGTGTTTATTAGAAATATGTATTGGAAGTATTTTATGTGGAAGGCACTGAGCAAGCTATTGTGAGCTTCCCAAAGTATTTTAAGATGCAGTTTTTACCCTACCCACTAGAGAGGTAAGAGCCATTTGCATCAAAACTCAATTGATGGTGGCAGGTGATAAAGGAGAAGCCTGGGTGTTTTAAAGGTTCTTCTTTACATACTTTATATATAAGGACTTTATTCTCCCTTCCCTTCCTGCCCAAGTTGTGGCCCAGAGAATAAAGCCCTCAAGCTTTCATTATAAAACCATCATTGAGTTCCAGTTACTTCCTGGACCAAGTTTTTGGCTAACAGCTTTAGTGTAATTTCATTTTACCCTTCCAATAACTTTGTGGGGTAGACGTCATTCCTGCCAATAAGTATGGGAGCCAGGACTCGAGTCTGCTTGGTGAGACACATTTCTTCCATCTTTATTGTCAACCTGTTTGCTAGTGATTTTAAAAAGCTAGGTGAATGAAAAATGATAGTGTAGATTATAATTATGAAAAGCTGAAAGAGGCTGTGTTTTGCAGTCCATAGACTTAGGAAGTTGCCTCTGCACGTAAATAATATGTTGATCGATGGGTCATTACCTTAAATATGGAACACTTTAAAATCTTACCATTTTTAAGATCTTAAATCTGACAGTCCTGAATGCAGTTGATAATAATGTGTCACAAATGTTTTTTTCTTGAGGCGCTGGGGGTTGAACTCAGAGCCTTGGGCATGCCGGGTAAGCACTCTACAGCACTGAGTAGTTACATATGATCCTTCAAAAAAAAAAAAAAAACTCTTTTTGATAATTTATTTCATTCCCATTGTTGTTGCTGAGGATGAAGCCCAGAGCCTTATCTGTGCTAGGTGAGCACTCTCCCACTGAGCTACATACCCTGCCCTTGGTTTCTTTGAGACAGTGGCTCACTGTGTAGCCCAAGCTGGCCCTGAACTCACAGTCCTCTTGCCTATATCTCCCAGCTCTATTCTTACATTTTAAAGTCTGCAGTGTTTAATGAATAATAGAATATTGTTTCCTATTACTACCAATAGTAATTTCTAATAATAATAGTGAATCCTAAATTTAATATCCAAAGCACTTTAAGAAAATTCCCATCTTTACAGTATATCTACTTAGCTGTCTGGCATGCCTAATTAGAGAGACTGGGTTTTGTGTTTCAAACCACTTTTCTAGTATATAACCCTTGCGATACTCTTCTGACAGTGTTGTCACTAGTTAAATATCAAACTATACATTCTATCTTTGGGGTTTGTTTTGTCAGTTATTCAGGAAATTATCGCCTTTTTTGAAAGTGAGATGTTCTCCCTCATCACAGCTGGGTATTTGCCTGGCTGAAGTGCTGGCCCCCACAGGTCCTGGACTTGGTCTAACGCAGGCCCCAGGAACCCTAACTTCTCCCATGCTGCTCTGCTCTCGCAGTGGGCATCCTCACTGAGCCTGTAACACCCTGCCAGGGAAGGCAGTGAGCAGCCATGTCCAAGCACCCAGTCAGAGGAACATTGAGGGCTGGAGGCCCTCTCTCCAGCCAGGTGTTTTCACTGTCTCCTGAGATGGAAAAGTCATTTCTGTTTTGTCTTTGTTTCAGCGCTCTTACTTCCGTACTCTTCTCATGTATGGGTTCCACTTTCTCGTGTGGTTCCTTTGTGTCAAAGGAGTCAGGGACACACAGTGTGGGTTCAAATTACTAACTCGAGAAGCAGCTTCCCGGACATTCTCATCTCTGCACATTGAACGATGGTAGGTCTCTAACTGGAACATATGTGCTATCTTACTACCCAGCAGGTATCCCAGATGATGGGACACAGCCCTGTTTTTTCATGGTGAATATCAATTTGAGTAAAATGACACTTATATTTGTGAACTTAGTCTGCACCTTTATGCGTCACCAGGTTCAATCTTATCTTGAAAATACTCAAAACACAATGTTTGATTAGTTATGTGTTCACCCTAACTGTAGGCAGTGTCAGCTGTCTGGCTGGAATGCATCCTGTTTCCCTAAGCTTCCTTTCCCCTTGAAGAAGAACAAAAAACAGAGCTATCAAGCAGAAAGGCGCCCGCCCTTCTCTCGCTCCTTTCTGGATCTCTCCTCAGGCAGGTCCTTTGATGGCCATGCTCTCTTCTACCTTCTTCAAAATCTGGTCTTGTCCATTTCTTTTCTGTCTTGTGTATTCAGCCTTTCCCTCTTAATCACATCTTTCCTGAAACTCTCCAGTGACCCTGCACATGCCCTTCAGCTCCAACCACATCTGGCTTCTTCCACAGTCATCCTTTTCTTAGGAGTACCCTGTACTCACTGTCTTCATTTTCCCCTCATTCCTTACCCCACTTTAATGATTTTTCTCCATTCCACTTACCTCTATCTCATAATTCCAATGTTCATATCAGATACTTGTCATACCTAGCTCCTTAACTAGCCCTAGCATTCCCTTGCCCCTGCATGTATCCAACCATGACCACAGCCTGTTGGTTTTAGCTTTTCTGTTCCCCAGTTTCTCTCCATTCCCACCACCAGAAAGGATACCATCCTTTTCCAGACTGTCCATGCCAGGCTGCAGCCCCAGGTGCCTTTTGAGTCACTTGGCCTCCTCTGCTTACAATCCTGTGATGGCCTCCCATGGCCATTAAAGGTACTGCATAATCTGACTTTCCACATGCAGACTTCTGCCCTGTCATGTCCCCTTCTACATCCTTCTCTGGGTAACCTGCCCTCCCTCTCTGGACTAGCTCAGGTGCCCCAGTCATGTGCTGTTGTACTACCATAGTCTTGATTCATAGACCCTGTTATATCTTAGTTATTTCTCATTTGTGTAATTACTTAATGTTCCATTTCCTCTGTAAAGTATATGCTCTTGAGGAGCTGAGACTGTAGCTCAGTCGGTAGAGTGCTTGCCTGGCATGCATGAGACCCTGAGTTCGAACCCCAGCCAGTTTTCTCGAGTAGGGGAAAGAACATGAAGTCTACGAGAGAAAACTTTTGCTTATTAACTTATTCTGCTAGAGAGTGCCTAGCACATAGTGCGCAGGAAGTACTGCTCAAAGCATTGGAGCTTAGTATTGGTCATGAGTTCTGTGTAACTGCAGTTCCGAGTGTATCTGTACAAGCATTCCAGTATGTCTTCGTTTTTAATGTCTCTGGTAACCTCAAAAAAATTATCTTAAACTGTAGTTTCAGAATTATAATGATCGTATACATATGTTTTTAAATCTTTTATTTCCTAGGTTAAAAAGATTAAGCAAACCAGGCATACACCTTTAATCCCAGCACTTGGAAGACAAGGGCAGGTTGATCTCTGTGAGATGGAGACAGCCTGGTCTTCATAGTGAGTTCAAGAGAATAAGGCAACGTGTGGTACAGCAGGACACCGACATCCTCCCCTGGCCTCCCTGCACATGCACAGGGGCAGACACCTACATACACACACAAATTAATATAAAGTTCATTAATGCACTAAATATTTTAACTTTATTGATAGAATTTTTACATTTTTATTGTAAATTGATACCACATAAATTGTAGCTACATATATTTATGATGTACAAAGTGATGGAATGATATATGGATATAATGTACAATAATTAAATTCCTCTAGTTGACATATCTGTCATTTAAAGTACTTATATTTTTGTGGCTAGAACTGTTATTTTTTTGTTTGTTTATATTTTGAGACAGATCTCCCTGTGGCCTTAGTTGGCCTGGAACTCACTATGTATACCAGGCTGGCCTGGATCTTACAGAGATCTGCCTGCCTCTGCTTCCCAAGTGCTAGGACTAAAGGCATACACCACCACATGGGCTCTGGTAAGAACTTTTAAATGTAATCTTGGTGATTGGGAGGGGGTATTTTTTGAGATAAGGACTCACTATGTAGCTCACACAGTTCTCTTGCCTCATCTTCCTATGTGGTAAGATTACAGGCAGGCAGGCACCACAATCCCCAGCTTATATTCCTTTTTTTGAAGAATGTCGATCCAGGTCCCTTGCCCATATTTGGGGGTGGGGGGGGTGTAAATTTTGTATTGAATTTTTGTGTATTTCATACAGAACATCTTAATCATCTTTATACCCCCTTCCTCATTGATACCTGCCCCTCAAACTGGATTTCATGCATTCTGTCATTTTGTTAAAGCCTATCAAGTCAAGTTAGTGTCCCCAGATGTCCCTCACTGCAGTTCATCCACTGAGGCTTAGTCGACCTATCTAGAGTCCCTCCCTTTAAGACCAGCTCTTCCTCGCCCAGCAGTAATCAGCTGCCAGTAGTTCTTCAGCTAAGGTCAGGGCCTGCTGCCCAGTTCCCCAGTTCTGTGCTGGGTTTTTGTCTGCTTGAGTTTGCATGGGTCATGTGCATGCTGACACCATTCCTGTACATACGCACAAGGTCCCAGGAGCCTGTAAGACTATTTCCATATGGTCATGCACCTCCTCCCTGGCTCTTACAATCTTTCCGACCCCTCTTCCACAATGGTCCCTGAGCCCTGGGTGGGTGAAGTTTAATATAGGAGTCCTGTCAAAGGACCCACACTCTGCAGACTTATTCTCTACGCTTTGACCATTTGTGTCCTTTTGTGTTCATGGCCCTCTGTGTCATGAGAGAGCTTCATTGATGAGAGTTGAGGGATGCATTAGTGTTCTCTCTACCCCTTGTTCTACTGTGTTCTGTGAGACTTGTCCATATTTTTATCTGATGATTTGCTTTCTGTGGTGTTAAGTTCCTTTTGTTTTTGGATAGTAGCCTGAATGGCTTGCAGATACATATTTTCTCCCAATCCAAGAGGTATCTCTTAACTGTTAGTTGGTTCCTTGGCTATGCAGAGCTTTGTGGTTTGATGTACTCTCATTTGTATGTTTTTGTTTTTGTTCCCTGCACCTGGGGGTTAAATCTTTACAGATCATTGCTCTGACAAATGTAGTAGTTTTTCTCCTATGTTTTTGTCTTAGTTTCTTTTCTTGTTGCTGTGATTAAAAACATATGACCAAAGCAATTTAAGAGAGAAAGGATTATTTTAGCTCACAATTCAAGATACAGCCCATCACGGTGAGGCAGTCAAGGTGCAGGATCTGCTGGTCACATTACATCTACCATCAGCAGACAGAGGGGGATAGCTGCATACTTGTCAGTGCTCAGCTCGCTTTCTTCATTTTATATAGTCCAGGATCCCCTGCCCAGGAAACAGGCCCACCCACAATTAAGAAGACTCCTCCCACATCAATAAACGTAATCTAGATAATTGCCCACAGGTTTGCCCAGAGGCCCCAGATCCCAAGTGATTCTAGATTCTGTCAAGTTGATGACTTAACAGTCAGTAACCAGCATGGTTTTCTTCTAGTAGTTTTAAATTCCAGTGTTTGTCTTTAGTACATTTTGAAGTACTCTTTGTCTGTGCTATGGGTACCATTTCATTCCTCTACATATGGATATCCAGTTTTCCCAGCATCATTTATGTAAGAGTCACTTCCTTTAGTTCCAAAATGTATGTCCTTTAATCTTTTGTTTCTGTTTGAGTGTCTGTTTTGGTTTTGGTTTTTGATTTTATGAGACTGGGTCTCACAGTACAGCCCAGGCTAGCCCCAAACTCACCATGTAGCCAGGCTTCAAATTCAAAACAATCCTGCCTCAGCGTCCCAAGTGCTGGCATTACGGGATAGGCGACCATACCCAACTTCTTTTATTTCTTAATTTTATTTAAATGTTTATTTAGTTACTTCATATGTCTAAGTGTTTTTCCTGATTGTATATAAGTATACCATGTGCATGCAATGCCCACAGAGGCCAGAAAAGAACATCATATCCCCTGGAACTGGAGTTAGAGATGGTTGTTAGCCAGCAGGTGGGTCTGGGAACTGAACCTGGGTCCTATCCACTGACCCATGTCTCCAGCCCCTGTGCCAGCTACTTTAATCATTTCTTTGACAGTTTCCTCTCTCTGTTTCTTCTGACCTATCTTAGAAACAGATGAATTTCCATGCTGGTTCTGTAAGTCTATCCTCCCCTTTTCAATTTTTGTTCTCTTGAGGTAATTCTCCTGTTTTTAACCATCTGGGCCTCATTTTGAATTTTTATTTCTGTTGCCAAAATTTTGATTTCCTAAAACTAATTTTTGGCTTATAGTATTAATTGCTTGTTTGGTTTTGGTTTTGTCCTTTCGAGGCAAGAGCTCATGTAGTCTAGGCTGCTCTCAGACTTTCTGTATAGCTGAGGATAGCCTTGAATTCCTGATCCTTCTGCCTCTACCTCCAAAGTGCTGGGATTATAGGTGTATGCCACCACACTTGGCTAGTTTTATCATCTTAACTAAATATTTTATTGGGAAAAGAAAAGACACTTTAATAATTTTTTTACATATTTTTTTTGGTTTTTTTTTTATGTATATGCGTATACTGCCTGCAAGTGTATGAGTGTACCTGTGTTGTGCAGTGCCTGCAGAGGTCAGAAGACGGCATCAGATCCCCTGGAACTGGAGTTAGAATAGTTGTTAACCACCATGTGGGTGCTGGGAACTAAACCCAGGTCCTCTGCATGAACAGCCAGCCAGTATTCTTAACGACTGAGCCATCTCTCCAGCCCCAGAAAAGACACTTTAAAAAATAGTTTTCATACTGAATTATCCAAATACTTGGGATTAGAACAGTCTGGATGGTGGTAATGTTGTAGCAAAAACAAAACTTGCAAATTCAATTGTCTAAACTCAGAGAAATCAAGTGTTTGGGGCATGTTTGCCTGTGCCCTGCTTTAATACCACGTCCAGAAAGCTTGAGCTGTGCTCCATGAATTCTGGAAATGTGTAATAAGGGGGACTATGACCCAAGGAAGAAAGCAAAACAGTGAAGAATTTCCTTTACAGACAGCGTGGAGGTTGAGGGGGTGGTGATATATCCCCTGTCAAAGGATAATTTTGCTTTTGAGAAATTTTGCAAGCAGAATACAGAAAAACCTCTGAATCAGGATTCAAAACCTTATGGAAAACAGACTTGACCAAAAGCCAGGGACTGACTGGGGAAGAGGTTCAAGAACGTCTCTGTCCTGGGTAGGAGGAAGGATAAATAAGAGTCCAAACTAGGCATGATTGTAGCAGTGTGGCGTCAGGACAGCATATATGGGTGCATCTTGTCACACACAGGAGCCTCCCAGACTAGGCTTCAGCAGCTTTTCACTTTCAGTAGCTGCCAGGACCACCCTATACAAGACAGCAGCACAAGTAAGAGGACACCGAGTCAGAGAAAAAACCTGGGTCCTTGGCTGATAGGAGAAAGTGGTCACGCAGCTGTCGGGTAGCCAAGCACTTCACCCAGCTCTGCTTTGCTGTTTTTCTGAGTCAGTTGAAGGTGCTGGTCAGTTCTGCATCGTGAACTAGTTAAGGCTGAGAAAGAAAGCCTTCCATCTTGCCGACTTCTAGGATTCAATTTTCTCTTGGCACGTACAAGGTTATTTTCATCTCTGAGGGTATCTGAGTTGTGGTAGACATTTCCTGTTTAAATGCTATCAGTATTTGACATACTGAATATTTTATTTTCCATGAAGCTTCTGAGCCACTCAGTGTTCAGTTGTTTGACCTTTTGTGAACCTGATCTTCAGTTTTACAATAGAAGCTTTACGTCTGCCTTGTAAGCTTTAAAACTTGCTGTGGTAGAGATTTAATGATGCCCTGTTTATCTCTTTGAAAATAAACATCAATATATTATCTGTTTCAGGGCATTTGATGTAGAACTGCTGTATATAGCACAATTCTTTAAAATCCCAATAGCAGAAGTTGCTGTCAACTGGACTGAAATTGAAGGTGAGTGTACTGCTTATTTACAGCTCAGCTCATCTTGGGTCAGCCAGGGAAGAGATGTCAGGCACTGCAGTTGCTGAGAGTCTGCTGGCCCAGAGTCCACCTCTCTCCTTGCTCAGGGTCCTCTAGCTCTTCACAGAGAGCATCTTTGCTCTATCCAGCAATGTCCTGCTGCTTTTCCAGTCTCTTCTTAGGGACTTCAGTAGTCCTAATGGCCCGAGGAACTTCATTCAAACCTTTTTCAATAGACAAGGCTGTGGTGATTCAGTAGTAATAACTGAGTACATACAAACCACTATGCAATGCTAAATAAGAAACTACAGATGTTTTTATTCTGGATCCCTGCTTTGCAGAGCCCATTCAGAACCCCACACCCTTATATTTGAGACATGGTCTCACCATACTGCTCAGGATTGTCTCAAACTCATGGACTCAAGCAATCCTCCTAGCTCAGCCTCCTGAGGACAGAGCCATTTAAGTGTTACCTGTATCTGTACATATATCCAAAAATGTAACGATTTCTATAATCCACAATACTATGAAATCTGTCATAAATATGTCATAAATCTTTAAAAATTCCTGTTCAGACAGCCCTGCCTGCACACAGCTGAAAATATATTCTAGTTTTCTACCTTGTTTACCTTGGAATGAACCTAAACAATCCCACTTTATGGAAGTGCTTAAGATTATCAGCTGAAGACTTTTTTGTGTGTATTTTTGAGACAGGGTCTCCCTGATGCCCCAACTGGCCTGAAACTCACTATGTAGATCAGATTGGTCTCAATCTCACAGAAATCTGCCTTCCTCTGCCTCCTGAGTGCTGGGATTAAAGGCATAAGCTACCTCGCCCAGCTAGCTGGAGACTTTTTAAGTTAAGCAATTTTATCTGAGAAATGGGGATGACTGAACCCTATCATCACAGTCCATTGGTGCTGTGATTATGGCTTTTCGGGCCTGGGTTTCACCCTCCCACATTGGGGCAGTGGACTGAGGCCTCTGCTGTATCCAGGGACATCAAATCTCGCCCCTGGAGCTGGACACTTTTTCCAAGTCCACCCTCCAGGTAAGGGTCTGGATGCATAGAGACCTCACTCTCTGTTCAAGAGTCTTGGTTGCAGTAAGCTAGTTTGTTCCCTAGCATCAAGTAGCTTGGAGGTACACAAACTATATAGTGACTTTGCAGAAATGTAGTAATCTTCACCATTCTTCTAGAGTCAGAGAGGACCAACCTCATGGGCAGGTGAAGTGGGAAAAGTACAAATCCCTTTTGGAGCCGGGCATAGTGGCTCACACCTTTAATCCCAGCACTTGGGAGGCAGAGGCAAGCAGATCTCTGTGAGTTGGAGGCCAGTCTGGTCTACATAGTGAGTTCCTGGCCAGCTGGGACTAAAGGGAGATCCTGTCTCAAAAAAGACCAAAAAAAAAATAGGGGCTGGAGAGATGGCTCAGCAGTTAAGAACACTGACTGTTCTTGCAGAAGATCGGGGTTTGAATCCCAGCACCCACATGGCAGTTAACAACTGTAACTCCAGTTCCAGGGTATCCGACAGCCTCTTCTGTCCTCCACGGGCATTGCACGACACGAGTGCACTTACCTACATGCAGATAATACACACATACACATAAAATAAAAATAATAAATAAGGGGCTGGAGAGATGGCTCAGCAGTTAAGAACACTGGTGGTTCTTGCAGAAGACCCGGGTTCAAATCCCAGCACCCACATGGCAGGTAACAACTTTCTGTAACTCCAGTTCCAGGGGATCCAGCAGCCTCTTCTGTTCTCTGAGGGCATTGCATGACATGGGTGCACTTACCTACACAGCAATACACACATATACTTAAAATAAAAAATAAATAATAAATATAAAAATAAATAAAAACTAGTCTTTAAAATATAATGCGCATGCCTGTAATCCCAGCACTTGGGAGGCAGAGGCAGGCGGATCTCTGTGAGTTCAAGGCCAGCCTGGTCTACATAATGAGTTCCAGGACAGCTGGGGCTACAGGGAGACCATGTCTCAAAAAGACCAAAAAAATCTCAGGTTTATGCTGTTGGCTCATTTATATTATAAAAGATAGTCGTGTTGATGTCTGTCCCCTGATTAATAATAGAGAATAAGACAAATGACTATAAAATGCTTTGTGGTAATGCTTTCAAAAGAAAGCTATTTCGACATTGAGAGCAGTAGGAAAGGTCTTCTTTGAGGATAAAGTATGATGGAGAAGTAGTGAACCTTGGTTGTGGATGTTCACTGACCTACAGGTAGAGCACAAGTAGTGGCCATAAGAGTCACTGCATAGATCAGACATCCCGTTAGACTGGTATTCCTGTGTAGCCTGGGACAGAGGTAGGGACAAAACTGTGCAGGCTGACCATAGGCATTAGTTTTCACTATTAAGGATAGATCTTTTGCTAGGTATGGTGGTGCATACCTGTGATTCCAGCCCTCTGGAAGCTGAGGCAAGGAAGGGTAACAAATTTGAAGCCAAGTTTGGTTAATAATGAGTTCAGGGCTGAGATCCTGTCAGGAGAGAGGTGGGGGGAAGGAGGGAAGAATGGATCATTTGTAGAGCTTCTATGTGCTATATTTGTAGTTCTGTGTGGAATTACTATTTTTCATGAGCTGGTACCCAGTTCTAGAACCTTCACCATGGGTAAACCTTTCTTCCTCACAGCCTGTGAAATTTTCACATTTAAAATTCTCCGTTTTCACTGCATAAGAAGTGTGCTTTTATTTGGGGAAAACAAATCACTTCAGCTTTGGATTTTTTTGTTGTTGTTGTTTAATCTCAGATTTAAATAAAATCAAGATGCTAGATGCTCACAAAGATCACTGACTTTTAACCACTCTTTCCCCCTTCCTGCACCCCCTCTCCCCCTTCCTCTCCCTGTCTCTCTCCACTCCCCCTCTCTCTCTCCCCTTCCCCTCTCCCTCTCTTCCTCTCCCTGTAACTGTATCTCTCTCCCTCTCCTCCCTCCTCTCCCTCTCCCTCTCTCCCTCCCTCTCCCTCTTCCTCTCTTCCTCTCTCACACTGCTGGGGATGGAGCCAAGGGGTAGATAAGTACTTTGTCACTCAGTCCCAGCCCCAGCTTGAATTCTAGGGTACAACTTTAAACTGAGTTAATTAAAGTTAATTTATTTTATTTTTAATGCAGGTTCTAAATTAGTTCCATTTTGGAGCTGGCTACAAATGGGCAGGGACCTACTGTTTATACGACTTCGGTATCTGACGGGTGCCTGGAGGCTTGAGCAAACTAGGAAGATGAATTAGTTTGCAGACCTGGGCTGCATCTTTATGTATCAGTATCATGTTATTTCACTTGAAACCAAGATTTTAAATAAAACTGGGATGGACCTGTTCCCATTGTCTGCCTGCGAATATTTTTAAGAATCAACTGCCATAAACAATTTGATGTCTTTTGGGACAAAAAAATTTTTAAGTGTTTATATCATAAGTTAGATTTTCTTTTGCTTTAGCAGTTTTAATTTTGGCTCTTGTCACTAAGATTCTGAGATACATAATTTTTAGGTTGAAGACAGAAGCAGTTCTTAAAGTGCCTGCAAAATTTTCACAAACTTGATATAAATCACATCCTATAATAGTCTAGGCATTTAAAAGTGAAGTTAGTCTATAAGTTTAAATATACACAGATTTACCTGTATAACTGAAATCCATATTCAGACTGTGAAATCGCTAGGCTCAGTCATAAAGATACCTATTTCCTTATGGTTTTCTCTCTCTCCTACCTTTACTGGATGCACTGTACCATCTTGCCTCCTACATCCCTTTCCTTTGGAGTTTGTTATCTGGAAATTCTTTTCTTTCTTTGTTTGTTTTCGTTGCTGGCCATCAAACCCAGGTCCTTGGGCAAGCTAGGCAAGAGTCTACTACTGAGCTGAATCCCCAGCCATTGGAAACGATCAAAAAGATGAAGTTTTTGCTGGGTGTGGTGACCAGCTGTGGGTTTAGTCCCAGCATGTAGGAGGCAGAGGCAGACACATCTTTGTGAGATTGAGGCCAGCTAGCTACATAGCTAGTTCCAGGCCAGCTATGAGACAGTTACCCTATCTCAAAACAAAACAAAAACAAAGTTTTTAAATAATAGTCAGAGTACTTATTTAGTGCCAGAATTTGAGATACTCTAAGGACTAATACATAATATAGTTAAAAATAATGACCTCCAAAAATCAGATTTAACACATTCCTGATATCATATAGACAGAATAATAACAGCTGTTCTAGTTTGGATTTGAAATGTCTGCTGAAGGCACATGTATTGAAGGCTTGGTCCCCAGTGTTTGGCACTATTGAGAGGTGACCGAACCTTTAGTAGAAGTTAGAACACAGGGGGTGTGCCCTCTAAAGGAATATTGGGATGTGAGTGTGTGTGTCTGCCTGTCTGTCTGCACTTACCTTTATGAATACAGTCACCTGAGCTAGAATTGAGGCATTTTGAGGGAAAACTAACTTGATTTACAGAGCCTGCTAATATAAGCTGTAATGACAGTAGTGAAAATATCAGCTACTATAAGTGCAAGGAAGCATGACGCATTTGTGTGCATTATTTACGTAAATCTGAAAGTTACTGTCATGCAAATATAATTAGCCATGTATCATAAATGAAGAAGCAGATATAGACAATTTTCTCAGGATCCGCAAACTAGCCAGTAGCTATACTTCCTCAGAAACCTTACACAGGAGATGTGAAAGAGCTCGGGATATGCCAGGGTCAGGAGTATGGTCTCATTAAGATCAGACAACTTAGCATTTCTTTTCTGCTTTCTGACTTATTCTCATAAAATGCTTACATATGAAGATTTTTTTTTGGCTTGTGCTACACCTGAACAATATATCTTGATGTCTATAATTCTTTCTTCAAATAGTTCTGGACTTCTGCCATTCATAGTCAATTCTCCGGTTCATTTTCTTTATTGTTAACAATTTCCTTAAGAACAGAAACCTTGCCTTTTATTTGTGTGTCTCCATAGCATCCTAAATCGTGATTGATCAGAAAGGTTTCCCAGGTAGTCATATAAGCTACCCCTTCAATTCTTTTGTCAAAAACTGGGGGCTGGAGAGATAGCTCAGCGGTTAAGAACACTGGCTATTCTTGCAGAAGACCCAGGTTTGAATCCCAGCACCCACATGGCAGCTAACAACTGTCCAAAACTCCAGTTCAAGGGGATCCAACAGCCTCTTCTGTCCTCCGTGGGCATTGCACGACACGGGTACACTTACTACATGCAGGCAGTACACACATACACATAAAAATAATAAAATATTTTTTTTAAAAAACATTGTATGAAAGACTGTCCATTTCATTGACAGCCAGATCCCTTGAAGGAGCAGTCTAGCAAGTGGCTTTGATTTTGTTCATTCCCAAAGGCACCAAATCCACAAACAACTTTATTAATCTAATAAGAAGTGATACATTTGACACTGACTTTGAAGTAAAACTTCAGTAATATTTTAATGGTGATAAAACCTAATATTGTCCTAGATTAGATCCTGCCTAGACTCCTATAGGACTGAAGGCTGAGAGAGGACAAAGGGAGAGCAATACTTGAACTGCTCAATCACAAAGCATCTCAAAACTGGAAACAGTGTATTTTCAGTATCCCTTGACTGTTGGAGGGTAGATAGTATCATAGCAGGGAACGTTAAACCAAAACCCAATGGTCATAGTGACCACAGTGCACCTCAGCTTTCCCGAGCTTGAAATTGATTCAGATCCAGTTGTAAAAGTCCCCATTTAACAACATAGTCACCCCAGGAAGTATGTGCCAGCACCCCATTAGATTCCTGAGGCCATGGATAGTGAATATGGAATAAATGCATATACTGTATTTTTTTATTGTACATATATAACTGGCAAAAATTGATGTATACATTAGATACAGTATAACCATAAAAGTTTTGTGAATGTGCCTACCTCTCTCCCTGTCATTCCAAAATCCCTTCTTGTGAACCATGGTTTGTGTTGTGGTTGGACATTGAAAGTGAAGCCACAGGAAAGATACCTCATACAGTCAAGTTCCATTTATTCATACCACCACTCAGTACATGCTGAGTGCCCAGCAGCCCTGCTGTAACAGGTGTTAAATGCTGAGGTAGCCATGCAAATAACAGAACCAGGTATGTTCTGAGGAAGAACTTTTGCAGTCCCAAAGGAGGGAAATGCCCCTTCTATGGAGACTGCTGCACAAGCCAAACTTCAGAGCTCCACCGCCATTTAAGAGACAATTCATTGCCCATCAGTTCTGCTTGGTCATTGTTATTCTGAAATAGAAGAGCAAGCCTGTTCCCTCATATATTGCATCATGTTCCTCTAGATTAATAGAAATATTTTCTCAGGAGTCTTAGTTAAAAGGACCAGTTGAATCAGGACGAAGGTAGAAAGAGCAAAAGGACAGTGAGGACAGCTGCTTCCGGGAAATGGAGTCTTCTGTCCATTCTTGCTGGAGATGACTGAGAACACTGGCCATTATTTCTTTTTTTTTTTTTATTTTTATTTTATGTGTATGAGTGTATTGCCTGCATGTATGTGAGTGCACCCGTGTCGTGCAATGCCTCAGAGGTCAGAAGAGGGCTTCAGAATCCCCTGGAACTGGAGTTAAGGACGTTCGTAGCCGCCATGTGGGTGCTGGGAATTGAACTCGGGTCTTTTGCAAGAGCAGTCAGTGCTCTTAACCACTGAGCCATCCCTCCAGCCCCAATAGCCATTATTTCTAAAGCAAACAAAATTATGTTCTGAGAGATGGAAAGGGCTGACAAGCCAGGAATCAAGAACAATGAGGAGACTGGTTTCTTGATGTTTTGTTTTGGTTTTTTTTTTCCAACTCAAATGCCCCAGAGTTGGAGCTGAGAATGGCAACTTGGAAATGTCAGTGAGCACAGACAAAACAAAAAGCCTCTCTTGCCAGAGGACCAAGAAAGGAGCAAACTAGCAAGACAGAATACCTTTAGAAAGAAACTTCTATATTCTGAATACTAGAAATCTGGAAGCCCTGATCCCAACTGACCAGAGTGAAGGTTGAGTGAGAACCCTGCACGTGAATCCCATGAGGCTGGATTCAGTGAGACACACTGCCAGGGCCATGTCAGAGGAGGCAAAGTAGGGAGCAAGACTTCTTTCCATCTTTGGGACAGGGAGTGCATGTGAACAATCTCAGTTGGGGCCCCTCACCTTTCTCCTTTGCTTGAGATGGGGTCTCCTGTTTTGTCCTGCATGCACAAGGCCAGAGGGCCCATGGGCTTTCAGGGCTCTCCTGTCTCCATGTCCATCTCACCTGGAAGCACCGGGTTTATAGAAGTGCATCATCACGTCCAGCTTCCTCTGCGTTCTGGGCACTGGTACTCAGGTCCTCACACTTGTGTGGCAAATGCTTTCCCCACCAAGCCGTCTTCACAGCCTCTGGGAGCAGAACTTACATTCGAACCAGTTAGATGCGAGTCCTTCACCCCCATGACATCAGAGGAGACCCCCACAGAAGCCAGGACTTCTACCACAGTGACAAGGTACTTCACCTTTGCCCACTGAGGTATCATCAGAGGAGGCCTTGAGGAGTTAGGCATCAGGGGAGGACTTCTCCCTCTGGTGACCAGTGGTTAAGAGGTCCCCCCTACCACAGTGACAAAGACCATGTAATCAGGCAGAACTCCTGCCCCTGCCCAACAGCAGTCAGTAGACCCTTTCTCTGGTGTCAGTGGAGGCCAAGCAGGAGAAGAACTGTCCTTCCATCTGTATCTGGCATGAGACTGTTTGCCCTTCCCTGCTAGAGCGGGGTCCACAAAAGCTAGCTGAAAGAGAAAGTTTAAATCAGGTCTGGTCTGAGAACATTAAAAAGATCTAGATTTCAGAAGAAAATTACAAACCAACGACCAGAAAAACTCAACTTGGATAAAAAAGACAATAGATAGAAACTAACACTGATGTAACAGAGATGTTAGAAATAACCAACAAAAATCTTTAAAATGTTTTGATGCAGTTACAAATATTCCTCAAACAAATAGAAAATTGGACGACAGCAAAGAAACATTTAAAAAGCAAAGTAATAGAAGTTATGAAGAACTTTATAATTGGATTTAAGGTCCACTTCACAAGATGTAGTCCATACCTGGCACTCTGCAGGGCTAGGTATGTGGCTACCCGGGTCACAGGCCATAGGGGAGAACTTACTACTATTATTCTGCTGAATAAACATAGTCTTAAACTGAATCCTAATGACTTACTGTTATACCCATAGATTAGTGCCTCTCTCAACTCTCACCTGAGAAGCTTCTTCCTACAGCAGATGGTGATTAACACAGAAACCCACAGCTGGTCAAAGTGCCAAAAATAGGAGACTGAAGATGATTA